GGTTACACATTAATTGTTCATTAGAGTTTCGACAGAGTTTCGACAGTCATTAAGAGGTTTCGCCCACAACCTTAGTTTTGCGTAACTTATCTATATAACGTGCATAAATTTGGATTTTTGAGCCAGATCTAATATATAATTTGGCACGTGATTCCCCTTACCCTTAAATTATAACAATGCTTATTACAAAATGAACTATTTGCAAGGAAATAATTTTATATTAACTTTTCTGCCTCTATTCTCAAGCAAGGCTCTGAGTTATATGTCAACAACAATGGATCATTTCACAGTGTGGCATTTCACAGAAATTAATATTACCATTATCACTATCATTCTACTCAAGGATCAAGTGGGAGATGATGCTATTAACCTTAGTTTTGAGTAGAAGACAATGATGGTTTTTGGCTAGTCTCTACAAAGCTTGGTACATCCCAGTTGCGCATATATATTTATATATACCAGTGTTTCACATTGGTTTTGAGAAGCATTACAGGTAAGAGTTTAAGAGTCTGAATTAGTTACATATTAAACTCTCTTAAGAGTAACAATCTAAAATGTATCTAGTCACACAATTTTTGTTATTATTATACAGAAAAAATTAATGAGATTAGGACATCCTTTTCTAAAATTTATAGTTTATTTTTTTTGATTACTTGACTATAGGAAAAGTTATGGAGGTTACAATTTACTAGCATGGTGTGGTCATGAGTGAGGCAAAAAGAAATAGAAATAGGCATCACCATCATCCATATCCAACTAATACTGTTCTTCAAGTTACATTTCCTTAAACTGCTACTCCTTAAACATTAATTTTATTATTATTTATTTAATTATATATATTTAATTACTTTAACCATTATTTATAAAGAAAGTTACATTCATTAAAATAATGAAAATCATATTAATATTTCATATATAAAAAATCAATAATTATTATCAACTTGCACTTGTTTTTTATAATGTATTATACATTAATAGAATGATGAATTGTGGATTATTATCATTAATTACCACCACTATTATTTGTGTGTGGTGAAATATATGCTTTAATCAAACCAAGTACATCATATCAATTGTAAAGATTCTTTTCACATGTTGAAGTCCATATATATAATAAAGATCCAAAAAACCAAAATAAAATTTTTTATATCTTGTTTTTTTAGAACTTGTTGCATCCATATAAAGTTCAGTTGGATTGGTTAATTGAACATTATTAATATGAGGAGTGGACAATAGAAACAAGGCAACTAATAGACATTTACCTTGTTTCTATTGTTCACTCCCTATATTAATATTATTTAAAGGTAATGATGACATCTTTTGGATTTAGTGCTGAATGTGAACTAATCAAATATCAAATATTAATAGTTATAACCATTCACCTATCATTAAGTCTTTTTTTGCTGCTAACAATATTATTTTTGTCAAAATTTTCATTTATATTATCCCTTAAACTGTAGCACAATTTTTATGAAAATGTGATAAATTCGATACTGGAAAATCACTTATTATTATAAACAATAAAAATTTTTGAATTTTTCGTAGTTATTTACATATTATTTAAGTTCATAACATTAATTATTCAATACAACTTTTGTTAATTATTTTTATTGGTAAAAATTTATATTCTAATAATAAGTATTTTTTTAGAAAATTTCACGAAAAATAAAAAGAAAACTTCACTCCTTGTGGAAATTGTTATATCTTATACCATTTTTATTCCTCAGAACTTGAAGTTTAAATTTATTAAAGTTAATGTAAAGATATAATTAGTAAAATCTTCACTTCGTATGTATTAAATTTTTCAGAATGTAAAAAATTTTTATTCTTGATAAATAAAATTAATTAATCCTCATTTAAATTGATATTTTGTTCTTCATGATAAATTTTAAAACAGTTTCTATTATTATTACAACACAATGGAACATCACATAATGTACACCAAATATTAGAGAAAGAAGGTCTTTTATCTTTACCTATTAATAAATACCTACACAATACACATGAGTTTCTTTTATCACTTCTCCATTCTACAAGATGGTTATCAATCATCAATCTTTCAGCAGGAAGTTGATATTTAGATGTTATGTATATTAATTTTTTGTCTGGAAAGGAGGAAGAGGAAGTAGGAGTAACTTGTTGATTATTCCGTGTTGTCATTCCTAAATACATTTTTTCTTTCAAAGCATCTTCTATCAATACCCATAATAATTGTAATCTAAAGACTTTGTGAGGTAAATCATTTCTTAATATGTTACTTCTTTTATAAATCAAATAAGAATTAACTATTGCTGTGTCAAGCACCAAAAAAACAAAGGAACCCAAGTACGTCGAGCTGTTAATTGAGTTGAATAATAGCTTCTTAATTGATCAGCTAAATCAACTCCATTCATTTTATAATTATAATCATCAACTACACTAGGAATATCTATAAGTTTTTTTGGTTGGTTGCTAAAAACTTCAGTTATAGCTTCTCGATTTGTGTTAGTAATCCTTGTGCGGTGATGAACCTTTGCAACTTTAGAGTTTGGTCCAGTAATTTTATGAATTGTGGTTAGCATGGTTACAGGGCCATTATCTATCCACAAAAGAACCAAAACTTCATCAACTACAACACCTGAAAGTGTATTCCATTTTATACCATCTTTCTCCTTTAGCTTTAATTCACTGGGAAATTTAGCAGAATTTTTACGAACTGTTCCACATGCACCAATTCCTTTATCTCTTAAATATTTAAATAAACTAATACTTGAAAAGAAGTTATCCATGTATACATTAAAGGATCTATTAGTTGGTAATTTATTTATTAAATGAAAAACTTCGGATCCAGTTTTAGTCAATCCTGGAATTTTTTCTATATTTGAATTTTCTTTAATTCGGGAAGAAAATATGAATGTAAAAGTGTAGCCAGCATCACACAATGATAAAATTTTAACCCCTTCAGGAGTTGGTTTATTTTTTATTCTAAAAGTATGAGCACTTCTTCCTGAGAACCTTGCAATCATTTCATCAATAGAAACATCTGATGCTGGTATATAAATAGATTCAGAAACTTTCCTAATATGTGTAGACAAGGGTTCAATTTTTGGAAATAAGGTAGATTGATTTTGTGTATCATTAGGGTCTGAAATATGGAAGAATCTTTTAATCTGATAAAATATTTTTTTAATAATCAAATTAGTTTAGTTTAGTGATATATTAAATGTACATAATGCCACATACTTGTTGAAATCTAATTAGAGTCATATATTGAGTTATTTTATGTTTAGGAACTTTATCATCTGTGTTCCAATAATCTGAGACAGATGGAAATTTAAAAAGACCCATATATATTAATATTCCTAACCAATTTTCAATTCAGAAACAGTCAATGGATATCAATCTCTTCCTGTTCCAGCATCTTTATCAATTGCATACAAATTAGTATTTATGACAAGTTGATTAAAGATTTCATTTGTGAAAAAAAGCATAAAAATTGAAATTGGATTCAATTCTGTTAATAAATTTAATTCATGAGGCAATTTTACAATTGCATTGTGTAAATTGTATCTATGCACTAATGGTATAAATTCTGGAGGAGGTGGGAGAATATTAGAGTCATTATCATCAATTTGGGCTTTTTTCTTTTTTTTTTTTTTTGTATTGCTTCTACTACTTGTAGATTCTTCAGTACTATTTTCTTCTCTTATATCATCACTGATTTCAATAATATCAGTTGAAGCAAAGGTGTCAATATTCTCATTAACATTAGTTACTTCAGAATCCTCAAATTATTCATGTTCATTCCGTTTCAAAAAAAAATTGAATTCATCCTCATCCTCTGCATCTAAAAAACCTTCATATTCATAAATATTAATATTTGAAGAGTCAATTTTTTAATTAAAGTTTAAATAAATAAAAAATTTTATTGCAGTGTTAAAAAAAAAATTAATACAAAATGATCAGCAAAGTAAATTTTTTTTGTACCTTTACTTTGCACGATCATTTATCACCAAGAACAATATGTGACACTTTGTTTTTTCTTTAATGGGTTAATGATACAATCTCAAAAATCTTTTTTTAATTAGGAAATTATGTGTAAAAACTGCATGATAAAAATCTTTGTGTCTTACAACAAATCTGTAGCATATATGCTGCAGAAACAGTTTAAGGGATAAAAGATTTTGAAATGGTTGTATTACTTCTTTCTATAAGGTTTTGTTGCATTAGTTAAATTATGAATTTAATCACATTGACATATTGCGAGTTTTGCTATTATTATAATTTTTATTTTATAAATTATTTGGCAATTGTTGAAGAGGTGGTGTTTTTTTAACATGGTAGTTAACATACAGTTCCATCTTGGTTTTGATGAAAGTGATGGGTTTTCAGATGTCACAGGAAAGTTTAGCACTTTTTAAGGGTAAGGGGAATCACGTGCCAAATTATATATTAGATCCGGCTCAAAAATCCAAATTTATGCACGTTACATAGATAAGTTACGCGAAACGCGTTTAAACATCTTCAAAATTTTGTTGCGTGTAAATACAAAACCCCTTTAATTTTTTGGAAAATTTCAAACAAAATTAATTAGTAAAGATTTATAAAATTCTTGAAATTCTTCAAAAAAAGTTGCCAATCCCATAACAAAAGTATACAACATATAGTAAAAATTACTCTTTCTGAAATAAATAAATAATTTTAATTAATTTAAAGCAAATTTTTTACCAGCTTAATGATAGCTTCTTATTGTTTAGTAAAACTATCTTATTAATAAAATATTTTTTATATTTAGCATTTGAAAATGAAAAATTGGTATAAATCATTAACAGAAAATAATATTAATTATAAATTATTTTATTGAAAAAGATCAAAGTATTTTTGTTCATGATGATTCATATCAACTGAACACCATGGAAGCATATCAAGATTTATATAGCTCATATATCTTGTGGATAAAAGCCCCTATAGGCATGGAATCTGATTTAGAAGATGAAAACACAGTATGGAAAAACTGGTGCTGGTTTTTGGATATCAGATTCAAAAATTACAGGTGTTGCTGAAGATGCTGAGGAAATGGTGTATTCTTATTCTTGGGATTACTATTTGTAATATGATTTACATATTAATATTGTGATAAAACAGATTGTTGTCCAATCATGTTTTGGACATGTGTCATTTTATTATTAATATTTTTTATTACTTATTTTTATTATTTATTCCTTATATATTAATTTAAAAAGAAATTAATTTTTAGAACATAAAAATAATTACCTTTTGACCAAGTGAAAGAACAATCAATCAATCAACTGGTTAATTAACTATTTAATTAATATTTCAGGCCTTACTTATAATATAAAATTATTTACAAATAATTCATTCAATTTTTGCTTAATAAAACATTTTTTTGGTCGGAAATTAAATAGTAGGGTTTAATTGTCCATTTGGTTATCAGAGTGGTATAGAATTCTGAGGTTTTGGTTATTTGCTTTAATATAGAAAGCAAAGGTTTGGTTTTTGGTTTTTGTTTAAGTTTTTGTAAAGTGTTTAAATATTTAAGTAAGTGTTAAGACTGATTGGCAAAAGTATTAAGTGTTAATGTTGATAATGTTGAGTTATTATTTTACGTTATTATTATTATTATTTATTATTTATGATGATCAACATTAAAAGTTTTTTTTTGAGCCATTGTTTACTATTAATTTACCATGTGATTCCCCTTACCCTTAAATCATTGGAACTTGAAGCCAATGAACTATTGGGCCTTGTATCAGAAATGTTTATTAGTTCACATTTAAAATTATCATCATTGTCATATTGATGGTATTGATACTCCTCCACATAGAAATTTTCCATACCACAAGGATCAGTTTTATTTATAAAATAATTATCAATATTGATATTACATTAGCATTAATAGTCGACTAATTAGTCAGCTAAAATAGTCAACTATTAGTTGTTCAAAAAAAAAGTTTAGTCACCTAAAATAATCAACTAATTAATCAATTCTAACCTCTATAAAAAAGCAAAAGCCCACTATGATGTTGCGTTCTCAAGTTTTTCCATATTAATTAGTGATGGGTGTAAAAACCTTTTCCAATTAGCTTTAGGTTATTAACTTAAAAACCCAGGCTAATAACTTAAAAACTATTAAACCTTAAAAACCTATAAAAATATATATTAGTTGTTTGTTGGTCTTTATTAGCATTTTGTAAACATTACAATTAAATTTTATACAATATTAATGCTAATTTCATTAATTTCATTGAAATCAAAAATTTGATCAAATTCAACTCCAGAAAATTCTCCATTATTTTGAATTTCCCCATTGCCTTGCTTTTCTAAATTAGTAATATTGCCAAGTAAATCATTTAATATCTCCCCTGTAATATCTTGATCTAATTCATTGATATCTTCAATACTATTTTCTTCCACTTTATCTTGTGAAACTTCATTTACTTGAAATTCTAGATTTATATTATCAATTGTTATACACGTGATCAAAATGTCTTATCTGGGGGTGGGGGATAAATTAATAGAAATTTGTTATATTATTATTCTGCATATAACTAAATATTTAGAAATAATATTTTAACATTTAAAAAAACAGTCTGGATTTTATAACTTTAAGGATAGATGTAGATAGTTTTATAATGTCTCATTTGTTAAGTGATATATATAACTATCCCTATGTAAAAATAATTAATATGAGACTCATTTAGATCAGATCTACTATGGCCCAAAAATTATAGCACCGTTAGAATTATTTTGAAAAGGGAACAAGGTGAAAAATTGCTCCTCATGTTTTTAAAATAAATAATACTCAGAAGCTGGAAACTTATCTAAGAAACGAAAGGATTACCTATGAAATTTACCAAGAAAGAAAAGCAATAAATGTTAGAAAAGAAAGCAGAATGAAGATGTGCTATTATCCAACAAAAAGCAGTAACCCTTAGAAGAAAATAATCTCATTCTTACAATATTGATTTATTTTTTCCTTTTAATTCTTTTAATGACATAAAACATAGCAATTATAAACATAAAAAAGTTATACCTGTTATTCATAATCAGATTTATCTTCATAATTTCTTTTATTCTTTGAAATATAGTTTTTATAGCTTTGACAAATCTTTATCTTTAAGTCAGAGACAGTAGTTTTAGCATGATAAATATTAGATCCAGTAGTGCTATGATTACATTTGTAATCAGGAAAAATGTAAATCTCATATTTGTCAGTAATACTGCTTTTTTATTATCATCATCAATAAGAATATTAACTTTCATCTAAAGGAACATAACTATTGTTCTCTTTGATAGTTGGAATGAATTTCAATTTATATAGAAGAAAATATTTCCTTAATCTTCTTTAAATTACTTTCTTATTTTCAATCAAGATCATCTCTTAGTCTCTTTAACCTCAATTTGAACAATTCAGCAATTAATTGACCATTTTGTTGCTCTTTTAATCTCTTGTTTTCCTCTTCTAGTTGCTTAATTTTTCTTATAAACTCTTTATCTTATCCAATAATTACTGCTTTTGCCTTTTGTTTTACTCCTCTGACTTTTCTTGGAATTTGGCTACTTCTTTCCTTTCATTATTTAATTCTTCTTTAGCAGTTGATAATTCTTTTTCTAGTTCTCTAGTTTTATTGCCTAGACAATAACTAAAAGACTAAGCAATTAACTCTACTGTAGTAAGAGGATTAGTAGACTTATTCTTTGTTAAACAGCAACAATAACATCTATTCCTGTTTCTCTTTAATCTATCACATTCTTCACATCAATGAAGAGCATTATTATCATAGTCTTTTTTACAATTCTTACAAATAAAGACTATACCAGCATTACTACCATATTCCTCTAATGCCACCATTTGATGAGTAGCAGGAGCGGTGTCAAAGTTGAGAGTTGGATCATCATAATCTAAAGGTCAATAATTACATTCTTGTTTATCCCCTTTTGCTAATTCCAAAACTCTGTATTCTAGTTTTATATTGGTTTTTTCTTTCACTTTGCTTACCAATTGTTTAAGTTTTCACAATCTATTTTGCTTTTGTTTTTCTGGTAAAGCTGGTAATCCTTGGTTTTTATTTCTTCAATAACTTGTCTTCTGTTGTTCATTCAACAGATTCCTTTCTAACATGCTTATTTGATCCAAAAGCTCCTTTTCCCTTGCATCATGCTTTTCAAATACTTCACACATCTGTCATTTTCTCCACTTCATGGCTGTATTTAGTGCTTTTTTGGCTTCTTCTCGTTCCATTCACACTTCGTTGTCCAACTCTTCTATTCAATTTTCTTGCTCTTCAATCTTAGTTTCGAGCTCTTTGATTTTCTTTTCATATTCTGCTTTTTGGTTAGCTTTTTCCATACCTAACATACTATTTTCTGAAATATATTCAGCACAATTTGAGGCTAAATCTTTTGAGGAATCACAAAACTCATCCAACATTTCTTCAATAGTAATATTATCTAGATAAACTCTTGAATTTCTCTGAAATTTGGCTAGGATCTTTAGCTATTCTTAACTTACCTTTATCCAGTCATTTTTGGTTTAGGTGTTTGTATCAGAAAGGGTCAGTAGGATAATCAGTGACTTTTCAGATTTTTAGTTTAAGATCTTCCACTTCTTTTTTCTTATTGATGATGTTAATTTCTTCTAATAGTTGTTTGTTTCTTCGCTCAAGTTCATTTATTATGTTTTTCATGATTTTCTTGTTTATTCCTTTTTTTTATTTATTCTTTTAATTCTTTAATATACTTATATCCTTTTTATAAGGGTATGTTAAGTATATAAATTATTTAGTATTTTTTTACTTTAAATGTGGAAAATGCTAAATATTTGAGACGTTTCACAGCAAAAACCACCTCTGGGGTCATCTGACCAAAATTGAGCTTTTTACATAATATTATAATTATAATTGGTGAAAATATTAGACCCTATTTGCTTAATAAAAAACGGGGAATTTGCAATAGATACCTTCTTTAAATTAATTTGCACGAAATAATAAATTGATCTGCACACCCTATTTTATTGTTATAGTGCAAGACACCTAGTCCCACAACTTTTTATTGTCCTTGTAGATCCTTCTCTAACTCCAAAAACGGAAATGTAACACCAAAAAAATAAGCTGTAATTTTGAAGCTAAGACCTTTTTCTACAAAGTTACGATTTCATTTTGTTGATATGTCACAGCATTGCGCAGTTAGAAGGGCTCAAAGTTGCACAAGTTT